TTTTTTAGCCAGAGCTGTAACTTCTATTTCCTCATAGCTTTTATTGCGGCGGAGTAGATGAGTTGCTGTCTGCTGTCACTTGTTTCATTCAATTGAACGTGATCTCCTTTCTCCCAGACGGGGCGGTCGGTGTAATTTGGTTTTCATTCTTTAGACAGGAGAGAACTGAGATGTGGTGAGGAGAAAATGTGATTGTTAATTACGTTCCCCTCCCTTCCCCGAGATACTGTCTCCACTCTAGTTAAAAATGAACCCTTGTACTAACATTGTCCTGTGTAAGCCCCCATAAGGTAACCCCGTCGTATCATTTTGGATAAATCGCCCATTTTTCTCTCGTCACATTTTCTGAACGGGAGCTCAGGGATGGCTACATTATTCCTCTTCTTTCCGCCGTATTGGTCCAGAGCGGGCCATTCTCATCTACTTTGCATTCATTTCAGTTTGTTGTGTGTTTTGGTTCAAGGCTTAGATAACATCTGGCAATAACGCTGCCTGTGTATGAATCAACCTTTCAAGTGGAGAATTCCATAACAGTTTCACTAGACATCGGAAAAACGCAATTCTTTCAGGTGCCTGGAGAAAGCGAAGCGATACAGTGGGGGAGAGACATGCTGGCTATATCAACAGAAAGGATGTGTTCTACACTGGGTCGATTACAAACGTTGCCGAATTTAAGGAACATCCTCACAAGTACAGGTAACCCTTTAACCATGTGATACTTCGAGACATTGTCATTCTGTTTAATTACCAGAGGAACTACTCCGAACTGTGTTTAGGTCAACTGGATCTTTGCAACGACGCCCGCTTAGTGGGACTTTATCGGTCTCAGTGGAAAAATTACGAGAAGTCAGGGAAACTAGCGAGGAGGTTTCGGAAGATACCACCACCGACAATGTGGAGGGCTCCCATATGTTCAAGTATGTTCTTCTAGTCGAGTAGTTCTTTTGATCTCCTCTTTTCTTGTTATTTACATACTTTTCTGGGTCAGGATCACCTATTATCTGACTATACAAATTTTCATTTTACTATAGCATAGATGTTACGGAAAGGAAGGGTATCAGCTAATGAAATCGTCCAGAGAGCAGAATGAAACTAAGGAATGAAGACACTGATATTCTAAGGGAAAGAAAAAAGAAAGCAATATTTTGAAAAAAATCAAACATATCTATGACTTGGCCCCAGAGTATGAGACGCAACTTAAGGAAAGCGAGAAGGGCGCTGTTGATGTTGCTTCAGTGACCGACCGGTACAAACGGACTGTCTTCCGAAAAGCCAAAACATTGGAAAAACATACCAGGACAAATTCCTCCACACGTTCGCCGAAGTTCCATGCGTGCTTTTAACAGCCAGCCGTTCCATCCCTAATATTCGTGTGCAGAATGAGCATTAGAGGTGTCATTTCGGCCAATCATTCTGTAGACCCTTGAATCGTTGAGCTTTGCACCCATTTTCCGACGTTTCACGAGCGCCTTGGCAAGCACCCATGATAAAATGCAAGCACCGTTCCTAGGTACTAATTTTACCCGGGTAATTTTCTTAGGCACCGTTCCCGGGTACTAATTTTCCGATTTTCTCCACGGGAGATTACTGCACCTCTTCCCTCATCATTTGGTATTATTTTTCTCTTTGGGAGCCTTCAGATAATACGGTGTATCATATACGAGAAAGCTGTGAAGGGTGCGGATAGTAGATGGTAGAGTCGCCAAGTCCATGCCTGCTCAGTTCATTAAATCTGAATCAGCAGAAAATGAGAGCTGAAAAGTAGCAATAAGCCTGAAACTGAAACCTTTTCAGGACGATATCGAGGATGTTGTCACTGTCTCTTCTCATCGATCCCACCTTCCTTATTTTCGCTATTTCTAATCTCCTGACCTCGGTTGGATTCAACTCGCCATTATATTTCTTGCCGCTTCACGCTATGAAAGGTGTCGGACTCGATTCAGCCAGCTCGTCACGAGTGTTGTCCGTTTTCGGTGGGTTACTGGACTTTTTGGATTTCCTTTTGCCCTATATTATATTTAACTATATGACTTTCAGGATTGTGTAACACACTTGGTCGAGTCGTGTTTGGAGTTGTGGCAGATCACCGACTGCCACTTCCGTATGGTCTCGGAGAAGACACTGCCAGGAATCGTCTCTGGATGTACAACATATCATTGTCGGTGAGTTTTGCAAGTTTTTGTCGACGAGAACTTCATATTTATGAAGATGCATGAACTGACAGCTCATACGGTATGTCACATGATCGGAACCGGATGGAAATGTTCATTAGTTCACCTTCAAATAACAAATGAGTTTCTTAAAAGACGGGTGTTGCACGTGGTAATGCCCTGGTCCGTGAATTCGGGAAAATTCAAGTAAGGGAAATGAAGGGAAAGGAAAAGACCTCGGGAGAAAGACTTGCTGGCCCGTAGCTGGATGTCAAACTCCCCCACCCTTCTACGACCACCGGCCCCTTACACATTGGAAAGAAATGAAGTACCAGTACGATTTTCCTTTTAAATATGAAGCGATTAAGAGTGGGCTTCAAAGTGTTGCATCGCCGAAAGCCCAAAGGCACATTCCACGATAGAAGTTGTTTATGAGATTTCTCTATAGTATGAATTCGAGGCTCCCCCTTTATTATACATGTCGTTATTAGGGCGAAAAACGTCCTGGATAGGGCATAATAAGGGACCAGAGATTGTATCGTGTGAGTGCCACACCCCTAGTGGACGAGTTTCAACGGCTTTGTCGAGGCTAACCATTCACAAGGGAACCAATGTAGGAAGTGCAAACAACTTTTTGTGACCCATAGCGACAGCGAAAGGCAATTCTAGACAGTTTTGGCTTGATGTAGTCAGCTCTTTGCACGACGAGAGCAAGGTAAATCTCGTCCATAAACCTACATGACACTCCTGTCGCGGTGATCTCGTATAACCTCCACTTCCACTACTTTCAAAAAGCTTCAAGTAAGCGGATTTTCTCGCTTTCTTCGCCACCGATGTACTCCTCTACATCAACACTTACTCTTTTCTACCTTGAAGGGGTACCCTAAAATTATTGGAACAGTGCCTTTTAATGCATCTGTAAAATTGTAAAATATGGATTCAGATTTGCGGCATACTCACGTCATTCTGCTACCTGTTCACAAGTTTCGTTTCACTTTCTGTTTATGCTGGATTGTTCGGCTTTTCCATATCATCATATATTTGTCTAACAAGTGTTATCCTTGTCGATTTACTCGGTTTGGACAAACTTACAAACGCTTTTGGACTTCTTTTGCTATGGCAGGTAAGCTGTTTCGTTCTGGGTTTCGTTCTCATAGTCATAATAGACAACTATTGAACACCTTTAGGGTGTGGGAACCGTTTTTGGACCTCCCATCTCTGGATATCTTGCTGACATCACTCACTCTTATGTATGGTCGTTTGTGTTCTGTGGTGCCAACCTCTTGGTGAGTTCCTTTGAGTTCTTTTAGGTGTTGCATAGGTTTCCTTCCCAGGTCCAAACGATATCTTCGCGAAAACTGATGAAATTCGACCAAAGAGAGAGGGCGTATCCCAGATGATTAGAAATTTCGTTTGTCAGGCGGTGAAGTGAGAAAGGCAAACCAAATTGGCACAGAAAACCTCCAGAGGGCACTACTGGCGGTCATGTTGACAGTAATAAAATTAATCGTGAGGGTGACGATCATGAGAATTTCTCATCTTTCAAGGTTCTCCCGCTTTCTTTGTGAGCTGGTGTGTTTTCGAGCGGAAATAGTGTAGTGGCAAGTGGCCATTACCACGCACGCATGGTCCCAGGATTGAATTCCAGATATCCACCTAAGCTATGCAGGCCTTCCATCCCTTCGGGGTCGGTGAATTGGTACCAGACTCAACTGGGAGGTAAAAGCACTGACTTGTACATCAGCTGGCCACTGCAAGTCGATGTATAGGCCACATACGCATTCAATACGCCACTACGATTCTGAATGGAAGTCGAATGTGGAGCGCATCCTTCAGACGGGAATCATCTACGCTCAAAGAATTTATCCCTATCTTTTGATTAGTTGGAAGGACCACCTATAATACGCTGTGTAGGCAACCTCTAATATTCGCGAGAGCTGAATTCGATAAATTCGAATACTAAAAGTAGTTCATTAGTTCCATAGTTCCTTTATCAAAAAAGTGATTGATGTGGAACTGTGAACA